CCCCCTGCTCATCCCGGGGCCCTCCCGGCGGGAGCGAACCCAGGGAAGGTGTCCCTGGGGTGGGACAGGCGGCTGCCTCCTGCTCCTGCTGCCTCCTGCTCCCCTGGGATCTGGTGCCTGGGAGTGGTTCCTCATGGAGCTTCCCTGGGAAAGCCCCCGGTGCGTTCTCCTGTGGGGATAAGCTGGGAGTGCTGGGGGTGTCCAGCCCGGAGAAGAGAAGGCTCCAGGGAGACCTTAGAGCCCCTTCCAGTGCCAGGGGCTCCGAGAGAGCTGGGGAGGGACTTTGGGCAAGGGCCTGGAGGGACATGGAATGCCTTCCTGCTGGAAAAGTGGAGATTTAGATGGGATATTGGGAAGAAATTCTTCTTAGTGATGGTTGTCCCAGCCCTGGGCTCAGGTCTCCTGGCAGGGAATGAGCCTGGGGATTCCTTGGCTGTAGGACAGTGCCTGGAATGCACTCGGTGCCTCTCCCTCCCACCCACCCGTCACTGGGGGTTGCAGAAGGAGCCCCTCAAGAGGGGGCACTGGGAGGTTTGGGGGGGGCTTGCTGAGGGTGTGGGGTTCCCTGTCTCTGTGCTGGTGTCCTTGTGTCCCACCACCCCCTCCCCGTGCCCAGGACGTGAACAGGGAGCTCATGAGCCAGCAGGAAGCGTCCGCGGAGAAGCAGCAGCAGCCGCCCCCAGAGATGTTCGACTTCAAGATCAAGTTTGCAGAGACCAAAGCCCACGCCAAGGTAGGGAGAGCTGGGTGGGGCAGCCATGCCCTGGGACACGCTCCTGAGGCACCAGCACCAGGGTATTCCCAGAGCTGTGCCTGCCCCATCCCTGGCAGTGCCCAAGGCCGGGTTGGACGGGGCTTGGAGCAGCCTGGGCTGGTGGGAGGTGTCCCTGCCCGTGGCAGGGGGTGGCACTGTGAGATCCCAGCCAGGGAATGAGGCTTTGCCATGTCCTGGAGGAGCAGGATTCCCACTGCTGAGCCTGGCCTGGGCTGTGCCAGGGGTGCAGAGCAGTTGGGTGACGCCGTGTCCCACAGGCCATCGAGATGGAGCTGCGGCAGATGGAAGTGCAGCAGGCGAACCGCCACGTGTCCCTCCTCACCTCCTTCATGCCAGACAGCTTCCTGCGCCACGGCGGGGACCACGACTGCGTCCTGGTGCTGCTGCTCATCCCCCGCCTCATCTGCAAGGTGGGAATGGACACCTGGGCTCTCCGGCCCGGCTGGAGTTGGGATTTGTGGTGTTTACTATTGGAGAACTTCCAAAAGTTCATGGGAGATTGCAGTTCCTACACCTGGTGGGGATTAGGCTGGATATTGGGAAAATTCCTTCCTGGAAAGGACTGTAAAGTGTTGGAAGAGGCTGCTGAGGGCAGGGGGGAGTCCCCATCCCTGGGGGGGAATTAACAGCCCTGTGGATGTTGGTCATGGTCTCGGACTTGGGGACATGGCCAGCGGTGGCCTTGGCAGTGCTGGGGGAGCAGTTGGGCTTGATGGTCTTAAGGACCTTTATCCAACCCAAATAATTCCATGATTCCATGATTCTGAAGTGATCTGGGAGCAGGGAGGGGGAGGAGGCAGGGCCCTGCCCGTGGGGGTGGTGGCTCAGTGGTGGCACTGGTGGGTCACTCCTTCCCAGGACCCGTCACTTTTGGGGGTGTGGAGGGTGTGTGGCTGAGCAGGACAGAGCAGGGAAGCCCAGGGTGCCCTGAGGGCTCTCCCCGTGTTCCCCCAGGCGGAGCTGATCAGCAAACAGGCCCAGGAGAGGTTTGAGCTGAGCGAGAGCTGCGCGGAGCGCGCGGGGCTGCGCGGGGCCGCGGGGGAGCAGCTCAGCTTCGCCGCCGGCCTCGTGTACTCCCTGAGCCTGCTGCAGGCCACCCTCCACAAATACGAGCAGTGAGTACCTGCACCCCCACCTGCACCCCCACCTGCACCCCCACAGCCTCTGGGAGCCGAGTCACAGGGCCCTGGGGGGCCGGGCTGGGAAAGAGTGTTGGGATCCCCCTTATTGCCTTGGGAGGGGTCACTTCTCAATGACCCTCCTTGTGTCCCCCCCGAGAGGTGACGTGGGGAGGGGTTTTGGGAGCAAGCCAGAATAGAACTAAGCAGCAGGATCCCCTTACTGCCTTGGGAGGGGTCACTTCTCCGTGACCCCCCTTGTGTTCCCCCAGGAGGTGACCTGGGAAGGGCCCAGCTCTCAGCACCAGCTGGGTCTTGGCTGTGCCTCTGTCCCAAGGCCAGCAGCACCTCGGGGCTCCCAGTTCCTTTGTCCTGCCCCCTTTCTGACCGTCCCTGTGCCCCAGGGCCCTGAACAAGTGCAGTGTGGAGGTGTACAAGAAGGTGGGCACCCTGTACCCCGAGATGAGCGTCCACGAGCGCTCCCTGGACTTCCTGATCGAGCTGCTGCACAAGGACCAGCTGGACGAGACCGTCAACGTGGAACCGCTCACCAAAGCCATCAAGTACTACCAGGTGGGGCTGGGGGGCACACGGGGGGACAGGTGCCACCTCACCTGGTGGGTGTCCTGCCTTGGATCACCACGGGGCACGTGGATCAGCTGGGGTTTGGCTCCTTGGCAGCCCTTTCCTTCGGGTGTCCTCACCCAGGATTGGGGCTGTGTCCCTGCACCGTGTCCCCGGGGATGTGGTTCTCCCATCCCACATTCCTGCACCCCACCTGCAGGCCAGGCTGGCTGACCTGTGGAATTAAGAACCACCTGCTCTTTCGGGGGGTCTCTGGGGGGGAGGGGGTCGCTGCACAAATTGTCACTTCCAGTTAAAAACTGGGCCAAAGCCTCGAGATCTGGGGTTTGTTGGGGGTTCCCCCGTTGGGTTGTTCACCTGCACGTGTGGGAACAATCCTGCCATTCCCACAGCACCTGTACAGCATCCACCTGGCTGACCAGGCTGAGGACTGCACCCTGCAGCTGGCTGACCACATCAAGGTGAGAGGGGATCCCAACCCTTCCCTGATCCCTGCCCTCTGCCTTTGTGCCCTCCAGGATCCCTCTGGGAGCTGAGGTGCCCCTGCTGCCCCTTTCCCAGTGCAGTTGCTCTTCCCCAGTGGTGGCACAAGAGCTCTGGGGTCAGGAGGGGGAACATGGGGACAGGGTGGGATGAGGAGAGGGAGGGGAGCATGGAGACCCTCGTGTCTGGGGGGCAGGGTGTATCCCAGAGCTCCTGAGGGAAGGATCAGTGTCCTGCTCCCCACAGGGTGAAACCAAAACAGGCCAGAAATAGCCTGACTGCCTCAGCCCATTTCCCTGGGCCTGGAAATCCCAGGGTGGTGGGAGGGTCCATCCTGGAATTCCCAGGGCCCCAGTGTGCCCCAGTGTGCCCCAGTGTGCCCCAGAGTGCCCCAGTTTGCCCCAGAGTGCCCCAGGGCCCTCCCTGACCTGTGCTTGTGCCCACAGTTCACCCAGAGTGCCTTGGACTGCATGGGGGTGGAGGTGTGTCGGCTCCGGGCCTTCCTCCAGGTAGGACCTTCCTCCAGGTAGGACCTGCTGGGATGGCTGTGTGTGTGTGCCAGCTCCCTGCTGTCCCTGTGCCTGAGATCCCTGTGTGTCCCAGTGTCCCTCTTGCTGGAGTTCCTCCTCTCCCCTTTCCCCTCTAAGGTCCCTCTGTGTCTCCATGTCCCTCTGAGGTCTGTCTCTATCCCAGTGTCCTTCTGAGATCCCCATGTGTCCCTGTGTCCCTCTGAGATCCCCGTGTGTCCCATGTCCCTCTGAGATCCCTGTGTGTCCCCGTGTCCCTCTGAGGTCCCTGTGTGTCTCTATGTCCCTCTGAGATCCTTGTGTGTCCCTCTGTCCCAGTGTCCCTCTGAGATCCCCGTGTGTCCCATGTCCCTCTGAGGTCCCTGTGTGTCCCCGTGTCCCTCTGAGATCCCTCTGTGTCCCAGTGTCCCTCTGAGACCCCTGTGTGTCCCAGTGTCCTTCTGAGGTCCGTCTCTATCCCAGTGTCCCTCTGAGGTCCCTCTGTGTCCCCATATCCCTCTGTTCCTGTATCCCTCTGAGATCCCCGTGTGTCCCCGTGTCCCTCTGAGGTCCCTCTGTGTCCCAGTGTCCCTCTGTTCCTGTGTCCCTCTCACTGGAGTTCCTCCTCTCCCCTTTCCCCTCTAAGGTCCCTCTGTGTCTCCATGTCCCTCTGAGGTCTGTCTCTATCCCAGTGTCCTTCTGAGGTACCTGTGTGTCCCAGTGTCCCTTTGTTCCTGTGTCCCTCTGAGATCCCCGTGTGTCCCATGTCCCTCTGAGATCCCTGTGTGTCCCTCTGTCCCAGTGTCTCTCTGAGATCCCTGTGTGTCTCCATGTCCCTCTGAGATCCCCGTGTGTCCCAATGTCCCTCTGAGATCCCTGTGTGTCCCTCTGTCCCCGTGTCCCTCTGAGATCCCCGTGTGTCCCAGTGTCCCTCTGAGGTGCCCCTGTGTCCCCAGGCCGGGCAGGAGGCAGCAGACCTGGCCATCCTGCTCAAGGACCTGGAGACGTCCTGCAGCGACATCCGCCAGTTCTGCAAGAAGATCCGTCGCCGGATGCCGGGCACGGATGCGCCGGGAATTCCCGCGGCCCTGGGCTTTGGGACACAGGTGAGCGGGGCAGGAACCCCCCTCAGCCACAGACTGGGAGCTGTGGGATGGACTGGGAGCTGTGAGATGGACTGGGCAGCAGCAAATGCCCTGTGGAAGCTGAGCAGCAGCTCAGGGCAGAGGGAAATGGTGTGAGCTGAGCTGGGATCACGGAATCAGGGAATGGTTTGGGTTGGAAAATCCCGCTTAGTCCATGGAGTCCAGCCATTCCCCAGCACTGCCCAGGCCACCCCTGACCGTGTCCCCAAGTGCCACATCCACAGGGTGTTAAATCCCCCCAGGGATAGGGACTCCTCCCTGCCCTGGGCAGCTGTGCCAGGGCTGGGCAGCCCTTTCCAGGGGGAATTTTCCCAATATCCAACCTGAGTTTTTCCTGGCACAGCTGGAGGCTGTTCCTTCTCCTCCTGTCCCTTGTTTTTTGGGAGCAGAGCCCGACCTCCCCCTGGCTCCCCCCTCCTGTCAGGGGGTTGCAGAGCCAGAAGGTCCCCCCTGAGCCTCCTTTTCTCCAGGCTGAGCCCCCCCAGCTCCCTCAGCCCCTCCTGCTGCTCCAGCCCCTTCCCAGCTCCTTTCCCTGGACACAGACAGACGTGGTGTCTGTGGATTTTGTGTTCCCAGCTGGGATGGGGGTCTGGGCTCACACCTGCCTCCCTCCATCCTTCAGTTATTCTCCCCTATCCCAGTGTTTCCCCCCTCCCAGTGACACTCCCTGAGCCAGGCAGGATCCCTGCCCAGGGGGGGTGTATTCCCAGAGCCGTGCCCTTCCCTGCCATCCCATTTCCCTGGAGCTGTGCCCTTCCCTGCCATCCCATTTCCCCAGAGCTGTGCCATTCCCTGCCCTCCTGTTTCCTGGAGCTGTGCCATTCCCTTCCATCCCATTTCCCTGGAGCTGTGCCCTTCCCTGCCATCCCGTTTCCCTTGAGCCGTGCCCTTCCCTGCCCTCCCGTTTCCCCAGAGCTGTGCCCTTCCCTTCCATCCCATTTCCCTGGAGC